GTGCTCACTGTTTTCCCCAAGAGTTGCTAGTTCAGTGAGGAGAAATAAAAACACCTTCTTCCTCAGCATCTCAAGAAAGGCAGTCATTTGATTGGCACTCCAGGTAGAATGCTAATCAAGACAACAGTAACCATGGAAATGAGTGCCATAGAAACCCATTAGAGACCCATTGTATGCTACTGCATGCGTGTCTATCAGAAAGCAATTTACATATGTATCACTCTATTAGAAGACTTTTTGCCATAAAATTAAGTGCAATGTTTATGGACGATTTGACCTAAATAGCTAGTAAGCAATCAGAATAAAAAGCTCATGATAAATCAATACTTATGATGTAACAAGAATAAGAACTTTCTTTACATGTTTAACACAAGCTTGTAAGCTTTATTAACAAGAACATTCACTTAGTCCTGTCTATTAGCTTTATTGCTCCATTGATTGAGAAACTATAACCAAACCTTGTTGAGACTTTATAATCAAATAAAACATAATGACAGATGAATCACATAGTATGTAGGCAGGATGGGTGTTGACTACATTTTAAGGACTGTAGCAAGTGCATATAATCAATAAATGGACAGTATCTAGTGTTGATTGGATGTCATGGAGCTATAGACATTATCTCTAGAACATAAGCCACACAGAAAAACACAAATATTCGTAGAGATGATGATTTGAGTAACATAGCATATTTAATGTGGTAAGGTGCATTGGGGTTGGACTAGAATGGTGAACGTACAGAAGACTATACAGGAGAAAAGAAAAGCATTTGAGTACAGTAAGAAGAAAGTCCACAGACAGTTAACAGACTGGGACAGAGTTATTTAATAATAATAAAAAAGATTAATGAGAAAATCTTAGACTGTGTACTTAAGGAAAGTAGGGGAATTAAAAAGATTAGAAATCTAATGTGCTTATTAATAAGACTCAGAGGGGAAAACCAAAGTATAGGAAAATAGGAGCAACCTTGTCAGGAAGAAAGAAATGAAATTAAAACAATACTGAAAATCCTCTTTACAAATATTACTTTAACAGAGGATTATAAAATAAATATTGGATGATATAAAACATTGTCAAGACATAGGAAGCAGGTTGCTGGGGCATCGCCAGGGTGAACACAGTCAGTAGAGCCACTTCAAATCTGGGCAATTCAGTATCACTGGGCTTTGTCCAAGTTCACTCCTGATTGCATACTTTGGCAAAACTGGCATACAAATACAATGTAATCTGAATGGGAAACAAAAATCATGCAGGAGCAAAAGTAGTGAAATGTGGTAGGAAAACTCTTTGGACAGTCTATCTACAATTGATGTAGCTCCTATAAATCATACACACACACACACACACACACACACACACACACGTGCACTTGAATGTTTGGTATAATCAAAATTATGTAAATTTAACATCTTACATTAAAATTATATTCTATTTTAATGTTAAATGTGCATTATTGCATTTTTTGAGATTATGATGTAATTTTTCCTTTCCCTTTTCTTCCTCCAACCCCTGCCATTATGACTCTCACTCTCTTTCAAATTCATGGCCACATTTTCTTTAACTGTTATCATCTGTGTGAGCAAGATAATGTGTCTACGTCTGTGTGTCTGTGTCTTTTTGTGTATTCTTAAATAAAAAAATAATAATGGCTGCCACGGCATGACCTAAACAATGAAGACACCAATAAACATGTTAACTTGGACAGGAGAAAGCCCATGAGGCCTGTGTGCTACACAAAGAACCAAAGACAACTGCTGAGAGGAGAAGAAATAGTCTTCCTCAGGGAAGCAGATACTGCTCAGTTATGTAACACCAAATGGCAGCTCTCGAAACATATTCATACAAATAGCAGTATATGGACTATTATTTTTTTTCATTTTTAAGGTTGAATTTACCTTGAATTTATACGTGTGGGATATATCTATGCATGTGTATGGGCACTTGTGTGAGTGTCCTCAGAGACTGTAGAAGGATGCCAGAACCCTTGGCTGTGTGAGCTGCCTGATGTGGTGCTCTGAAGCAAACTCCAGTTCTCTGCCAACCCAGCAAGCATTGCTACTGCTGAGTCACTTCTCCAGCTCTTTATTTTTTTGATGCTTATCTTATCCTGCATTTACAAGCTCAAACACATATTTCTGAGATGCAACTTTATTTTAAGACTCTGTCCTTGTGGTGTAGCTCAGAGTGTAGCTCTTGCCGACGTGTGTATAAATGTGGAATGATTAAATCAAGTTAATTAACAAATGTATCACTGAATATCTAGTATTTTTGTGATAAGAGCATCTGAAATTAATATTTTTAGAAACCTAAAATGTAGATGAAAATATTAACTGTATTGTCCTCTCTAATATATCTCAACACATACTCATTTTATCTAATTTAACTTTGCATCCCTCACCCAACACACCTCCACAGTCACTCTCACTCCCTCCTACGCTGGTGGTCGCCACTATTCTGCTGTGAGTTTCAGTGGATTCCGTTTATAAGATGGGATTGCATTGCACTGAGTACAATGCCTTTCATGCTTACTATGTCCTCAAAATACAGAAACTTCCTTTGGAAATCTGAATAAGGACGGGGGCTGTAGCTCAGTGGTTAACATTCTTGGCTGGTGTGCAAGGACTGGGCTGAAGACCTAGCACCCTGTAAAACTGCCATGGTGTAGCAAGCCTCTAACCTCAGGACCTGAGAGGTAAATAAGAAGGATCAAAAGTTCAATACACATCTCATATACATTTTCAGGAGTAGTATTTCTAAATAATATGGTATGATAATATTTAGATTGCTGACCAAACTCTGTATTTGTATAATATTTGTAATAAACTACTTTTTGACAATAGTGATTTTCCTAGAATCTCCCCTCATCTCTTCTAAAGATTCTTAACTATTTACAAACTGTATATAATGCTCAAACATACATTCCTATCCCAAGATGGTCAGAAAACATGGAAGGAGACAACACAGAGGAAAAGGGGGGAATTGAAATAGATTTAAAATTCCCAGAAAAAATAAACCTTAGTGATTACACACAAGAAATGAAATGGGCTATCAACCATGGAATACATACTACCCAACCTAGACTCTGCAAATAGACAAGCCTGCCAGCCTCCATGTTTTCTTACATGTAGTTACTAGTCTATGCACAAGGAATCATCGCTGACTTGATCTATTTCCTTTTACTTTTTTTTTTTTTTAACAAGCCCTTTGTAAAATGACTTGAGTCTCCAAGATTATCTACCGAACTGAAAATAGAGAACTTTGAATATTTTTTTTTTCGCGAGTATAGGGCAGAAATTCCAGCAAGGTTTAGATCAAATGCCACTGAGGAGCAAACACTCAAAGGCGGAAGATGCTGAGAATGGCAAACTCAAACGGAGGAGAATACAAATTGTCCAAGTTCCTCTTGACAGTGTAGGGAAAGGAGATTGGCACGGTGGGGAGGAAAGTGAGCGAGCCGACCTATAGCTCCAGCATACTTCCACATGCACATTAGTTCACACTGAACACCCCTGCCTTCTGAGAAAGCATGCAGTTTTTAAAATATGTGTCTCACGCTGCTGCACTTCGCTAGATTTAAGTCACAGGAGAGGTTTTCATCAGTCTTCTCTCCTGCAAGGGGCTATGTAAGAGAAGAAAACTAGCTGCCCAAGTTACCGTCATGTATTTTCTCAGATAGAAATCAGATAGAGATTGCTGAAATAGGACTGGATAGGAAAGGGTAGTATAAAGGGTACTATTGCTTTCTTTATGCCTTCACAGGGCAACCATTCTATTAAATATATTTTTATTTCAATTACTGTTTTCCTGTATGGGATCTCTGAATGAATTTTGGAATAAGATTAATGAAAACAGCAGACAACTGGGAATATGCCAGTTGAAAGCCAGGGATCTCCTAGTCTGCTCTGCCTTCACGATGACCAAAGGACCCATGACTGGTCAAAGAAATGATGATCAATACCCAATGATCAGGTGATTGATTCTTGTGTGAAGTTTGACTCTGTGGCTCCATGAAGCTGAGGGGGTACTGCAGTAGAAAGAGGTTCTGGGTTTCTCTCATGACACTCTGGGTATCAGATTTTCCTCTTTATGTCTTAGATCAGAGGAATGAGAATGTTAGTATCACCAATAACATTAATCAAATTGCCTTCAGAATGTTCTATTTTTAATATAAGCAGGTCATGACATTCTGCTTTCAAGTTCAGTCTCTAGCTTGCAACCTGCTTAACCCCAAAGTGTTTTATGAGCTATGTCTCTTCCCCTTTGTACCATACTCTGGTCTGTTGTCCAAAAATTTCACCCTTTACTTGAACCCAAAAATAATGCCCCTGTTTATAACTTTCAGAGTCCATCATCATAATTAATTGTTCATGCTGCCATCCAATGTCTATGGTAGAAATTTAATGTTTACCTTCTAGATCTTAAGAGGTCCAAGCATTTAGGGAGCTTGGAAAATATTGTGTCCATGCTTGGACAAGGAGCACTGATTGGAAATCACAATAATGAAGAATTTAGCATTTAGTGTTATTTTGTGTGAGGAAGAGGGAGACACACTTGTATGAGAGAGAGAGAGAGAGAGAGAGAGAGAGAGAGAGAGAGAGAGAGAGAGAGAGAGAGAGATATGGAACAGTAAGATTGTATGTTCATGGGGAAAAGAGTTTGATTAATTTATATTCTAGCAAGTGACCAAAAAGACTTCAGTGCTAAAAACTACTTGAAGGCCAGCTTTTCATTTAATTGGAAATAGAAATGTTTTTTCTTATGTAATGCATCCTGACAACAGTAAGTCCTCCCTCTACTCATAGTACCAACTTACTTCCATTTCCATCTGGATCCATCCTCTTTCTGATTCTCATTAGAAAACAACCATGCTTTTAAGGCATAATAATAAAATTTAATAAGAAAAAAACAAAATCTAGCATGAAGGCAGATGATTAAAAGAAATCCCACACTAGCTTAGAATTGAGTATAATAGAGGGTTATTTATTTAGGGGAAGACTCACAGATTAGAGTCCTCTGCTTGAACAGGGAACAGCAACTGAATCCCGCACCTGGAAGAGAGGCCAAACACATACTTTACATCCACAATTATAGTCTGAGAAGCCATGCCCAAGTGGGCGGGTAACTAAAGACTACTGGGGGTAGAAATTCCTACAGCACTAGCACATAAGAATGGTACAAAACAAATAGACAGAAAGAAAAGTGGCAAAAAAAAAAAAAAAAACTCAAGAAACATAGTTGTAAAGAGGCACTTGTAATCATACTCAGGATTCTCATTTACGGCTGAATGTCCCACAGTTTCTTATCATAATGTGTGACTGTGGGTCTCTGGATTTGTTCCCATTCTGCTGCAGGAAGAAGCTATAATAATGAATAAGCAAGGCTCTGATCTATGAGAAGAGCAGAATGTCATTTGAAGTTGTTTCATTCCTACTTTTTTGTTATTTGTCTTTAGAACAGCAGTATTTGTTTTTACCTTAGGTACCTGGGGTGTCTAATCTCAGGTTCTTGATCACCCAAACAATATCAGGTATAAGGTACATATCAAAAAGTAGGTTTTAAGTCAAATCGGATATTAGTTGTTTACTCCCACATAACTCATTTCATCTTATGATTAGCATTTCTATGCACTTCTCAAACATTTTTCTAACATTTCTCACCAAAGTTTTTTTTTTTCCTTCAACTGATTTGAGCTGTGAGTTGCTTTTATTCCTGGAATTAACTTAGAGGGGCTTCCAACATTGATGAACAGTCTCTAGGCATGTTTTATGAAGCCTGACTGTTGGGTAGGTATGAAGTCAAATATCATACCAAAATATGGTTTTAATTAGTGCCCTTCATGTGAGTTGTTTAGAAATGCTTGTGTATACCACTAAATATTTTATTAACATTTCATGGAAGCTAGAGAAATACTTTTAGGACTGCTTGTCACTCTTCCAGAGGAACCAAGTTTACTTCCCAAGCCCAGATTGTGAGGCTTACAATGTCCTTTAATTTTAATTTAGAAATCCAACTCTCTCTTCTGCCTTCATGTCCAACTTCACATGTTTGCATACATACAAATAAAAACAGAATTAAAAATATGATAAACCTTTAACAGCTTATGAATTTTATTTGATTAGTTTAACACATTCAGAGAGAGAGAGAGAGAGAGAGAGAGAGAGATCATTTTCTACCTAAAGAGCTTCTTCACCTCTAGCTTGGACATAAAATTGACTATGAAACCTAGAGGTCCCCAATCTGGTTTCCTTAGGTTTATGACATAGAAGCTGGAATTTTGTAATAAGGAGGCTGCTTGTTCGTTTCTGGATGCTCAGCCCTGAAATAATTACACAGAAATTGTATTAATTAAATCATTGCTTGGCCCATTAGTTCTAACTTCTTATTGGCTCTTAAATATGAATTTAACCCATTTCTATTAATCTGTATATAGCCATGTGGCTGTGGCTTACTGGGTAAAGTTCCCAGCGTCTGTCTTGCAGCTCCATGGCTTCTCTCTGACTCCATCCTTTTTCTCCCAGAATACAGCCTAGCTTTCTCCACCTAGTTCTGTTCTTTTGCCCTATCACAGGCTAAGGTAGTTTCTTTATTCATTAACCAATAAAAGCAACACATAGACAGAAGGCCCTCCCACACCAGAATCTACTACAGAGCTGATGTAGTAAAATTAACTTAACTCTTAAAATAACTTGACTGAAAGAAGCAGTCATAAAATGAGTGCCTTAGGCATTTTATCTGTGCATTGAGTCTTTGCCATCTCATCTGCAGCACTTATTAGCATATAGCACGGATGTGAAACATTTGCTACAAACCCTGCAGCTCAGGTGATTGGGATGCTGACACATTCACAACCGGGATAGCAAATGAAGCCTGTTTCTCCTGATGCAGACAAGAGAAACAAGAAAAGTTTATAACACTTTATCTCATTTAATAAATCTAAAATAAAATATTTGTTAAATCACTACATTTTGCAAGATTGAGGAAGTGCTGCTTTCATAATTGACTCATATTATAAATTCAAATTCAGAGCCAATACCCTGTTTCCAATAAATACAGACAAAAATTTAACAAAGATAAACCATTTCTAAAATACAACTTTAAAATCAAAATGAAATTAAGATTAATTAATGATACTACATTATAAAAACTTTGGAAATTATAGAAAAATTTTGAATTCTAGGAAATAGATCTTGTTTGGCATTTGCTATTTTTAATTTAACTTAAAAATATATATCTATAAGCTTCTATTTATCAAATGTATTGCTATAAATTCCCCCTTTTCTCATTTTCTTTGTTATTTTTTTGTGGGGACAGAGTTTTCTTGGGGAGACATGATACAAACATGTCTACTCAATGCAGGAAAAGAACCTACTATAGAGCGGAATAACCATTGCATCATAGTTAGACTTGACTGACCAATAATTTTTACTGGGTTATAATAGAAGCACAGCTGAGTGATTACTTCCAAGAACAGAAGTGACCCAAAGCAACTGCATCTGGGAAAAGTCAACTCCAACATGAATGATGACTTAGAACACCTGCGTCCCTGGAACTCTCTACACAATTTGCAAGCAAACTGATAGGTCCTAGAAATCCCTCACAGCAAGACTGGCCAGAGTCTCTGCTTACATTGGTATGTTCTTGCTATAAATTTGGTAGGGATATTGGAGAATCTTTCAAGTTTCTACTTTTCCTGACATGATGGTGTGGGAAGTCCTCTTGTTTATGTGTTGTTTTTATTGATTAATGAACAATGAATAAAGCTGTTTTGGCATATAGCAGGGCAGAATAGAGTAAGGCAGTAATTCCAAGCAGACAGAAGAGAAAAGAAGGCAGAATCAAAGAGATGCCATGTGGCTGCCAAAGGACAGGGATACCAAAGAACCTTATTGGTAAACCATGAACCTCGTGGTGATGCATAAATTAATAGAAATGGGTTTAATTTAAGATGTAAGAGCTAGTTCATAAGAAGTCTAAGCTACTGGTCAAGCAGTGTTGTAATTAAGACAGCTTATCTCTGATTATTTCGGGTCTGGGCAGCTGGGAAACGAACGAGCAGCCTGTGCCTACTATATGATATTTCTTTATCTACTGCATATCTTAAGCTTCTCTCTCACTCCCACTAGAAATCTTGAAATTTTGTAAAACAAGAAGATATTCTTAGTATTCACTACTCCTTGGAGTTATCCAGTGAGAGCTGGATTTTCTACCTGTAGCAGTGAAAAGAGGCATTTGACTTCCCCCACCATTGTCATAACTAGAGTCATAATTTAAATGTTGATACCAGAATACTGGAATCATTTACAAATGATGAAATGTGGCATTAAGAATTAATAAAAATATACACCAACTAATCTATTTCTGTTATATTCACTATTCTAAATAGAAATTCCAGATGCAAGAAGATAGCACAGTAACATGGGCTGTTCTAGTAGAACTTGAAGCTATTAGTCCAGTTAGTCACCCAGCGTAAACACACACACATACACAAAAATAAGGGTGAGTGTGGCTAAATTAGCTAATTTTTTGCGTCAATTTAACAATGCTTTTGTGAGGATTCAGGGGTGTTTTCCTTTAGATTTTACTGCAAAGATGTCCTTTCAAGCCATTAACACCTGTAAGAGGTTGACTTTAAATGATTATCCTCTATAATCTATACATCAGAGTTCTCTGGAAAAATGAGTGGAGTTGAATGAAAAAGAATGAAGCAAGCCTTTAGTTTGTTTGTTTTCCACTGCATAGAATTTATTCATAAATATTTCACTTTTGGACTCAAAAGTATAACAATCACTCTTATCTTAACCTTCAGCCTGCCAGCTTGTCTTACTTATTTAAGGCTTACCACCTACAGGAACTTTAGAATAACATCAGCCAATTTCTTAATATAAATATCTACCTGCCTATGTCCCATCTTTCATCTATGTATCTACCTGACATCTATTACCTGAGTTCATCTTCTATGAAGATACTGAGTAAGATGATCACAGTATCATGAAAGAAAATGGGTATCAACCCAGTTATAATTAATCACAAAATTAAATTAGGCTCCACTGTTTCTTATAGAGTGATTCCTCATTTGTGACCAAATCATTTTATGGAAAGACATTTCTATCAGAACCTTCACATATAAGTGGTCATTAAGAAAGGTCATTGTCCCCTTGAAAGCTGATGTTATGCTAATACAGGCAACACTACGTAATTCCTAGCAAGATTATGATAATTTGATTCTTTTGAATATTTTTCTCTGTCTCCTAGAGTACAGTCATGTGTATATTACTTGATACCCACCTGGAGTAATTGCATATTGAACAAGGAATGGATACTTGATTCATGGTCTAGTTACTGAGGATCTGATGGTCAGATTTTAAGTTGAGTTCTCTTCTGTCAGTCTTCTTATAAATGAAGCAATTCCTAGGTTCAGAGAAAAAGGAGACATGAATAAAACAAACACGAACTATGGAGCAAAGGAAACTGTTCTTTTTCCAGAAAGACCAAGAGAAACTATGCTCTTCAAACTAACTCAGTCAATGATAACCAGATTCAATTCGTAAAGTTTTCAGGAAATAGATCAATAGGGTTAGACTAAATTCCCACCCTTTACATCTTCCTTTAACTTCATTTTCTTCTTATTTGCAAGCTTAACTGAGTGGCTTATTCACAAAAGCTTTGAGAAAAACAGACAACTGGCTTCTCCTTTATGAAATCAACCATTGGTGTCTGTCTGCGTAGTCTTAAACAATCTAGATAGAAGAAGCTGGGGTCTGCTTTTCAGTCAGTGACACTGCAGAAATCACATCTGCACTTTACCTACTGGAATTAATGATTACTCACACAAAGAATTCGGAGTATTCCAAAATAAAGGTCTGCATTTCTATGGATTATTTTGTTTAGGAACAAAACAAAAAAGTATCACAAATTAAATTGTACAATTTCCACAACTGGTCATATCCTGAAGTCTATAAAAAATACACAAAACTAAAAAATAATTTAAAACAATTAATGTGGTAAATTTATTCAGTAAAACCTAGCATGATTTGTAATTAAACATGTTAGTATTTTAGATAAGTTTTATGTGAAGTATAATAGAAAATCTTAGCCAACCAAAAAAGAACCTTTCCCATCTGCACAGTGAGCACTAAGTAGTGCTCACTGAGTAAGTATAAGGTCATACCCTGCCACTGTGGAGACTCAGGTTTATGAGATCTAAAGTCAATACCCCAAGCAATTACTCAGCTTATCTGTTGCTTCAGTTTAATCAAGAGACTGTTTGTATAGTCTATCTGACAGTGACCCAGACTTCCACTAAATAGAAATTTGGGTCAAGAATAATCTTTTCTGTCCCTGATATAAGGTTTTCTTTTATCACAAAAGTTCAGAAACTTGACTCTGCTCAGAAAAATGTTACATCTCAGGAGTGGTAGTAAAAAGGTGTTATTAAAGCATACCATGCAGAACCAATGCATAAAACAGGCAAAAAAATATAACTATCCATTTTATTGATCAGCCACACAAGTACCATGGTGCACTGATTATGAAAAAATTAAAGCTGAGTGATTTTCATTAGTTCACTATATTTCAGCTATATATGAAAAACATTCAAGGAACCAATCGGTCTTGACTATTACTACATAGTATTTGCCATGATGCTTGAACTAGAACACATTGCTTGCATGTTACAGGCCCTAGGTTTGATCCCCAGTACTGCCAAGTATAACTAGTAGTAATAATATTAAATTCATTTAGCATCTTATATATTTAATTGATCAAAAAATATAAATCTCTTTTAAATGAGTCATAAATGTTTCTCCAATTTATATGTCAAATTTAATCATTAGGTGTGGTAGTTTGGCTGAGAAGGGTTGTCATAAACTCATGGAGCTGGATACTTAGCCCTGAGTTTGTGGACCTGTTAGGGAAGAATTATGTTGTATGGCCTTGTTGAAGGAGGTGTGTCACTGGGGACAGGCTTTAAGTGCCAGGAGCTATGTTACTTCTTTAGGGACAAGGCCTGCAAATAACAAAAACAAATTTTCCTTGTGGCAAGGCCCTGGAGAATCTGACCAATTTGGTAAGGCCAATGGATAGTTCATTGCATAATGCTGGGCCTGACCCCAAGAGCAACCCGCTCACCTTGCTTTCACTATGCAAGTCTTACCGGCAGTCGCTTTTAGTTTCACATTCTCAGTCAGGGATAAAATAGATATTACAAAAGGAAAACTTCCCCTGATGACTCCCTCTGGGTGAGCCAGAGGGGGTGTAGTTAAAAATATACAGTGGATCTGGTTTAGCCCACTTACCCTTTGATGTTTCAAGAGTGACCATAAATACAGACTTCTTTAGAACAAGCTGTGGTTTTCTAATGCACCTTGTGACTAGCCTGAAAGAGTCACAGTTTGGTACTACTACAAATTTGCATAATTTATCTGGAAAGAATGATTTGAACCAGAAGAGTCTAGGAGAAATGAAAATAAATAATGATGTCAAGAGTTAATGGGAACAGTCTAGGAACAGGGAATGAAACGGAATCCTAGAAACCCACAATGCCCTCATTACTGTTAGCCGTGCCAGGGCTGTAGGAAGTGGGGAGGAGAAGGATATGAGAGCAAGGGAGAAGCATTGCCAACTATTAAGAGTAAGTTTCCAAGGGGCTGGAGAGATGGCTCAGAGGTTAAGAGCGTTGCCTGCTCTTCCAAAGGTCCTGAGTTCAATTCCCAGCAACCACATGGTGGCTCACAACCATCTGTAATGGAGTCTTCTGGCTTGCAGGCATACACACAGACAGAATATTGTGTACATAATAAATAATAAAATATTTAAAAAAAAGAGTAAGTTTCCAAGTTATGTTGCCTGTAGGATAAGCAGGGAAAAACCTGGAAGAGATAGGGTAGTAGAGAATAAAGAATTAATTGATTAAGCCTTGGCTGGTGAGTTGATTGTGAGAACTTAGATTTTACCAGAGGTAAACATTAACAATCAGAGACAAAACTCTCACTTTGCATTATGCTGTTATTGCAGACGCTGCCAACTGGGCACACTGTTCTACATGTAAGTGTGCCTAGTTAGAAAACTTCCTTTGTCGCTTGCAATACTGTTTGTGCTTTTAACAATAGAGCTATGAATCAAGAAGATAATGGTTACCAGTGGGAAAACTGGGGTACAGAAGGGGAATAAGGAAAAGGGACAAGCTGGAAACTATTGTAACCATTATTAGAAACCTAAGGAAACAAATTTAATTGTAAAACTGTTCATTCAAAGTATTGAAACTATAGATAAAAACAGCCCAGGCTACCTGGGGTCACTTATTTGAAACAGGTAGTCATAGTTTCTTCCCTGTGTCAGCTTCACATACCTGTCCCAGGCCAGGAGATCTGTTGGGAGCAAGGTTCCCTGCATGTAAGGTTTCAGAAGTTTCCAACCATCCCTAGTGCACTCTGCCTTCTGTTTGCTGTTTGAGTTTTTACCTTTGGTTCTTGCTCACTGTCTCCTGCTACCTCCACTCCAACATCATTGGCTCTAGCTGACTGTAATCATAGACCTAAATAAACCCTTTGTTCTGTTTTCTTAATAACAGTATTCTGCCGAAGCAATAAAAAGTAACTAAGATAAAAGCAATATTTACATTGGCTGAGAAAGTAGTTCTGGAAACATTTCTGAATGTATAGCCTTAGATACTTGTCCATTTTTTTTTTAAAAAATCCCAGGTTGTTGTTCTTTGCACTTAAATTGGACATTTACACAACACAATATACTGAACCACAACTTATTCTTTATAAACTCATCTTTAGTTATTAATTTATTCAGTATACGACAATACAGAATCAAGTATATCTCCTGAAACTGTATTATTTCAATCAAATATAAATATTCTTATCAGTCCTAAGTACAGCATCAATATAAAAAGTCTCATCTCAATTGCAATGTACTGTGGTTAAGTGAAGGGTAATTTTGTGTACAAACGTGCTACACAAACCTGTCCAGTGTGTTTGTTCTTAGCACAGAGAACCAATAGTTTACTCACCCCCTAAAAATCATTCATTAATTGGAAAGGAGATTAGAGCATTACTAACATAATACTTTCTTTTCTTATTTTTTTTGAAATTAAATTATAATTACATCATTCTTTCCTTCACTTTCCTCCCTCCAAACCTTCCCATGTAACATACTTCCTCTATCAAATCCATGGCCTCTCTCTCTCTGCTCCTAAATATATAAACACTACCAATAAAAATAGAAAAATAAAATAAAAAAATAAAAAATAAAAATAAGTAATGATATATCATCCAGCCCCTTTGTGATACATCTACAGTACAACTCCTGTACCTAAGGCATCAGGGATCATAGCAGAAGAGGAGGTAGAAATACTGTAAAGTGAGAGGAAAATAAAGTTTGCTGTGAAACTGCATCTCCTAGAGTGTCATGAAGTTACATGACATTTTCTCTGACCAAGGGCAAGGAAAAAATCATATGAGAAAGGGATTGTCATCATCTGTGCAGGTTAGTTACAGGACGCGCCTCAGGGAACTATGCAACAAGGATCGTAAAGAGCACAGAGTGGAGACATCATGAAGCTTGTCAATCCTCCAGTTCCGTTGTGTTTATCTTTGTTCGTTCTCCACTTTGCATTTTGTTTTTGGAGTTCAAACATCATTTGGGGGTTTTCAGGTCGTATTGCAGCAGCTCTTAGCAACATGAATGATGTAAAAGAAGGGATTTAACTGCCAGGGCTGACCATTCCTAAACTAGCCACGGGAAAGCAAGGATTTCTGAACCCACTTCAGCCCTTTCCTAGTCAGCTCACGAACTGTCGTCTCCGAGGGCTGTACCTCACTTTCTGAAAGCTCTCCCACTAGCACATGCAGCGCTGCGGCAGTCTGCTGCTCTCCACCGCAGGCACGCATTTCCTTGCTGAGTGCCTGCCTCTCCTCCTAGTTTGTAATGGAAGAACATTCACCTGGCTCGTCTTGTTTACTGCTACATTGCAAAGCCTGGCATACACTAGGGGCCTAGAGCAGCTCTTGAGTGAATGAAAAGGTTACCCTTGCTGGACAATCTCAATGTCTCTAAAGGTCTTCCATATTCAATTAGAAAATGAAGTCATCTTGTATAGAATAGATGTTCTGTGACACATAAATAAAGACCCCAGCCCTGTCTCTTAATTAGTGAGAAATGCAGAAAGCTCTGGGAAAGAAGGGAGGCTGTACTGCCAATCAGGGCTCATGCATGCTTGCATTAATCTGATGACCTGTTATATGGAGGCTGGCAGGCGTGATAGGAGGGCAACAGCAGAAGTCAAAGCGACAGGCGGCCTATGTAACCCACTGCATAAAGCCACCTTTTCTCAAATGCTCCCTTCAGTTATCAGGTGAGCTTCACATAGCATACTCTTAAAAAAAAAAAAAAACACCAAAGCT